GTTTTAAATGTGAAAAAATAATAAAAATTTAATTTAATTAAAAATACGAAATATATAATAAAAATTTAAAAAAGTAAATCGAAAATATATAAAAAATAGAATAATTAAAAATTAAACTCATGTTGCTGGATCAAAATTACCTGAAATTTTTATAACATATCTAAAGGTGAGGAATAATTTATTGTTAAATTTTCTCCTTAAATTTCTTTCTAATTTGCACCCAAAAAAAAAATTCCAAAATCTGGTTACAAGCCAACCAAACATAATTACTCCCCTTAAAATTACAGCCTCCTTTTAATAGATAATTTAAATTTTATTTTCCTTTAATCATCCTGCCTTTTCAATTAAATTTTTAACCCTTGATTCTTTTTTCTACTTAAATTAAAATTCAAAAAAAAAAAAATTCTTTTTTCTCTCAGCTCTTACAACACACAAATTTAATGACCGGAAATTACAATTTCCCAGTATTTAACATCTTAGCTTTAAAATCATTTAGTGTTAATCATTATAACCGTCTTTTTTTTCTACATATTATAAATTTAACCTTTTTTTGGAAATTTTATAATTTTGTTAGCTAAAGCTTTAATAGAATAATCATTAACTGTGTCTGACTATATTGGCTTTAGGTTAGATAATATGGTGGCTGTATTGTATCATAATGTTAATGTGAAACACAGACGATGGTCATTAGTATTCATAAAATGTTTGAAAGTGAAGTACTATAGGGAATTTATAGTTTATTTTATTTATATAATAATGTTTAGTGTGTTAAAGTTTAAGGCAGTTTTGATATTGAAAGTAAAATTTTTATTGTGGGAATATTATTAAGGTTTAATATTTCATTTAAATAATGTTTCCATATGAAACTTGTATATTCGAAATTTAGTAGTCAAGTCGAATTAATGAAACTAAAACCAAATCGGAAAGTCTTAAACCGTCTTATAACGGGTTTAAATTAAGATAGTGTTTTGAAAATAATCTATAGTGTTATAATTAGTTTTGAACACAGCTTGGCGGAGCATTCAGTGTTGAATTATTTGCCAGTGAAATCGATTTCATGTTAAAATATTAATAATTTGTTTGGCAGTGAAGTGTGACAAGTAATTCAAAAAAAAAAATGTACTAAATGTACGGGTAAAATGAAATAAAAAGAAAAAACATCTAAATATCGGTCATAGGCTGCTGTTGGCACCATAGTGCCGGTCCACACACGGAAATTTAGCTGAGAAACTTTTTTTTAATTCTCTTTTAAAGTTTCCTAAATGTCTACACATAGTGCCGGTCCACACACGGAAACTTTAGTTGAGGAACTTTTTCTTAATTCTCTTTTAAAGTTTCCTAAATGTCTACACATAGTGCCGGTACACACACGGAAACTTTAGTTGAGAAACTTTTTCTTAATTCTCTTTTAAAGTTTCCTTAATGTCTACACATTGAAACTTTCGTTTCAGAGACTACGTGTTAATTGCATTAACTTGTTTTTGTACGAATGAGAAGAATAACAAAACAAAACGAGTTTCTGAGTACGAGAAACTTCGTTCTCTTTCTCTCTCCCAAATTCAGAAGTTTCCCAAAAATAGTTTTCTAGTGTGGACCGGCAAATAGAAACTTTTGTTTCAGAAACTACGTGTTAATTGCATTGATTTGTTTTCGTACGAATGAGAAGAATAACAAAACAAAACGAGTTTCCGAGTACGAGAAACTCCGCACCGCAAGAGAGATGAATGGAATTTCTTTCTCTTTTTCTCTCACGCAAAATCAAAAGTTTCCCAAAAATAGTTTCCTAGTGTGGGATTAAGAGTTATGAAATTTTCTTAAAATATTCTTCGTTGATAAGAAATGTTTGATATTGAAATAAGTTCTTACCGACTTCTAAAGTTCTACATTATATATAAGAGAAAGTGAGTGTCATCTTTTGTTCTGAGGCACTAGTTTTTAGTTCAGAAAAGCGAAAAAAAACTTATTCTAAACTATTTACTTACAATTTATGTAAATGCGTTTTACACAAAGATTTAATACAATTTTTTTTCGAGTAAATAACAAATTTAACTTTTAGCTTTTGCAAACATTTCTTTTCGAAATAATTGCCCTTAGGGACATTGTATTTTTTAGCATTTATTCTTTTTTTTTTTTGTATTAGGTAAATAAACTGTAAAGTACATTTTGCCATTATGATTTACCAGACCATTTACAGTGTAAGTGCTGTTGCACAAACAACTACAAATACTGGAGGAACTAAGGAATGAGTAGGATTTACTGTCTCCTCCCTTGATTCCTACTTTATGACTGTAAACACTTCAGCTGCAAGCAAGTGTCAACATACGTTTTGTGTGGCAACAATTCACAAATAACCCTAAACACTTATGAGATTGGTTTTTGCCAAGGAATAAACCTAGTAATAAGATTGGGACACAAAAATAAGTAAATATATAAAGTACCAGTTAAAGAGGTTTTTAGCATTCTTTATATGTTTTCTCCAACAATTGTTATTTGTACAATAAATGTATTGATATAAAAGGGCTCCTAAATAAAATACTAAAAAGGAGTACACTTTCTTTTATTTCGAAGTAAAAAAAAGGACAATCGTAAAAAATGTCAACTCTTTAGATTTAAAAGGATTTGGTTTTTAAGTTGCCATAAATGGGGGTGTTCTTTAGCACAATGACACAAGTCAACATTGAAAGTTCAAATATATGTACATACGTATTTACAAACAATTACTTGAACCAAAGATTTTATTACGTTTCTTTGCCAGAAAATAATTTTTAGCAAAATTTGCAATTTTATTGAAGGTTTTAACACATGTTTTAACAAGATTTAAACAAGTCTAAGCTAGCAAGAACATGTTTGGTTTACATGTTAAAATTAAGCCTTTTTTGCTCCACTATGTTCTCTATTAATTACATTTTAATTGTTAGTTATTGATTATTATTTTTAGAACCAACTACTCTACCTACTCGTTCCTACTTCATTGCTAAATATTACTCTTTATCCTGCTCCTGGCATATGCTACATAGTTGTTTATATTGTTATTGTTGTTTTTCCTATATGCAATTGACACATTGTTGTTAATTTGCTCAGTTGTTGTTAGTGTTTTGCATACATAAAATAATGTCAAGCAATTAACACGTGCTCCGTGGCTCCCTGCTGCAGCGTTCATTTTGGTTTTTATTTGTTTTCGCAAAATGTCAACACGTCTGTCATTTATTTTTATTGAAAATATACATCTTTTATTTCTTTTATGACACAAAAATTGTATATTTACTTACTTGTGTTATTGGATTTAAGCGTTAAAAATCCTATATAATACGTAAACATATTGTTGTGTTATTAAAAATTCATGCTGAAATATTAATGATTTGATTTGCAGTGAAACGTGTAAAGTAATTTAATAAAATAATAACAATTGTACGAGTAAAATGAAATAAAAAGAAAAAAATATACATATTAATAAAACAATTTATATTGCAAATAACCACAAACAGGTGAGATGTTAAGATTTTTTATTAAAATAAGATATTAAAGTTATTATGAAAATGTGATAAGAAGAACTTTAAGATTATCCCCCATAATCATAAATGCTTAATAAAGTGGTTAATGGTTTATTGTAAGAATTTTGTATGGAAAATGTGCGTAATAAACCTAAAATAAGCGATTAGGTCCGAGAGTGAAAAATTTAAGAGTTTTAGAAATCCCTGTTATTGGAAATATTAATTTATTAAACCTTTTTGCCGATTTCATAACAAATTTGTTATCAAATCATCAAAATCGGTCTAAACCGGAAAACATCTAAAATTGATGACTGATCAGATTTCTTTAGAAAAGTTATAGCTGTGATCAGTTTACTTAGAAAAGTTACCGCTTTGATAAGATTTCTTCAGAAAAGTGATCGCTTCTTTACATATGTAAGTAATCGCTGTGATCAGTTTAGAAAAGTGATCGTTGCGATTAGTTTTCTTTAGAAAAGTGATCGCTGTGATTATCTTTCTTTAAAAAGTGATCGCTGTGATTAGCTTTCCTAAAATAAGTGATCGTTGTGATCAGTTTTCTTCAAAAAAGTGATCGCTGTATATAGAAAAGTGATTGTTTTCTTTAAATAAGTGATCTCTGTGATCAATTTAGAAAAGTGATCTCGGTATATAGAAAAGTAATCTGTTTTAAGTGTTTTCTTTAGATTTTCTTTAGTTTCCTTTAGAAAAAGAGATCGCTGTGGTTAGTTTTCTTTAGATAAGTGATCGCTGTGATCAGTTTTCTTTAGAAAATAGATATCTATGAACAGTTTTCTTCAGAAAATTAATGACTGTGTTCAGTTTTCTTTAGAAAAGTTATAGCTGTGATCTGCTTACTTAGAAAAGTGATCGCTTTGATAAGTTTTCTTCAGAAAAGTGATCGCTTTGATGAGTGTTCCTTAAATAAGTGATCGCTGTGATCAGTTTTCTTTGGAAAGTGATTGTTGTAAATAGTTTTCTTTAAAAAGATGATCGCTTTGATAAGTTTTCCTTAGATAAGTAATCGTTGCGATTGCTGTGGTCAGAGTTCTTAAAAAATTATATCTCTGATCAGTTTTCTTATATCTCTTATTGATAGATTTTCTTTAGAAAACCGATTAGTAATCAGTTTTCATTAGAAAAGTAGTTGCTTAGTTTTTTAAAGATAACTGATCGCTCTTTTAATAACACGTGATCACTCAACTTTATGTTTTTTTACAAATAATCTTCTATGGATTAACTTATTATTAAAAATTTCAAATGTTATTGAAAAATTGATAAAATTTCCTATAAGTTGATGTATAATACTTGTATTTATTTATAAACAATGCAAAAATATCTTATTATTTAAAAACTGCCTTTTAAATTTAATTCATCAAACACAACATAGTTTTACAAATTATCAAACTCAACATAGTTTATACAGTACTTTCATACAGCCAACGTAAACAAAACAACCCTGTTTTCCAATTTAGACTATTGCGCATGAACCAAACAAACAGCTGTCAGTTCAGCAGCTGTTCATGCAAAAAATAAAAGAAAAAACAGTTTGCTTTGTGTTTTTACGTGATTTAAAATCGAGTGCGTTTTTGTTAACAAATTTGCCGGTAGTGATAAAAATTCAAGAACATTTATTTAATTTAACGTTATAAAGTAAACTTTACAATATGACCCAAGATATTTTAATGTCCAATGAAGAATCGGTGGCACCCACCACCAACGATTCGGCTCACAAGCAATTGCAACAATTTTGCTTGTTGGCTAAGACAGCTCATGGTGCTGCCATTTTGGAATTGGTCAAACAAGTTTTAGAAGCTCCCGGAGTTTATGTATTTGGTGAACTATTGGTTATGCCCAATATACAAGAGGTGAGTTATGGATTTTCTTCTGGACATATAAACAGTTATTGAGAAATCTTTCTGGAACTTTAGCTCAAAACTGGTGACCATGTGAAATATTTCAATACTTTAAACTTATTTGCTTATGGCACTTACAAGCAATATCGCCAGCAGCCTCAAGAATATTTGGATTTGACACCGGCTATGCAAAAGAAATTGCAGCATTTGACCATTGTCTCATTGGCCATTAAAAATAAATGCATTCCATATGAGGTTTTATTGGAAGAGTTGGAAATCAATAATGTTCGTCATTTGGAGGATGTTATTATAGAGGCGATTTATGCAGGTCAGTAATAATAGAAATTTATAGGCTAGAAATAAAAATAAATTTAATTTCATTAAAAATTATTAAAATTCGTAAAAAAACATGCGTATTATATATAAAAGCTGAAGGCTATGAAACATAATAATACCTCACAACCCCACTCGTGTCATTTAAGGGCTTTTAGAAAAGTAAAATAAGTTCTCTTTAGAAAAGTGATCAATACGATAAGTTTTCTTTAGAAAAGTAATCGCTGCGATTAGTTTTCTTTAGAAAAGTGATCCCTGCGTACAGTTTTTTTAGAAAAGTGATCGTTGTGATTAGTTTTCTTTACAAAAGTGATCACTACGACAAGCTTTCTTAATAAAAGTGATCGCCGCGATTAGTTTTCTTTAGAAAAGTGATCCCTACATTTCTTTAGAAAAGTGTCCCTACATTTCTTTAGATCCCTAGTTTTCTTTAGAAAAGTTATCGCTGCGATTAGCCTTATTTAGAAAAGTGATCGCTCCGATTAGCTTTTTGTAGAAGAGTGATCGCTGCAATAAGTTCTTTAGAGAATTGATCGCTGCGATTAGTTTTCTGTAGAAAAGTTATTGCTGCGATTAGTTTTCTTTTGGAAAAGTAATCGCTGCATTAGTTTTCTTTAGAAAAGTGATCGCTGCGATTAGTTTTCTTTAGAAAAGTTATCGCTGCTATTAGCTTTATTCAGAAAAGTGATCGCTCCGATTAGCTTTCTTTAGAAGAGTGATCGCTGCAATAAGTTCTTTAGAGAACTGATCGCTGCGATTAGTTTTCTTTAGAAAAGTTATTGCTGCGATTAGTTTGATTTTGGAAAAGTGATCGCTGCATTAGTTTTCTTTAGAAAAGTGATCGCTGCATTAGTTTTCTTTAGAAAAGTGATCGCTGCGATTAGCTTTCTTTAGAAAAGTGATCGATGTTTTCTTCAGAAAAATGATCACTGCAATTAGTTTTCTTTAGAAAAGTGATCGCTACGATTAGTGTTCTTTAGAGAACTGATCGCTGCGATTAGTTTTCTTTAGAAAATTGATTGCTGCGATTAATTTTCTTTAGAAAAGTTATTGCTGCGATTAGTTTTCTTTAGAAAGGTGATCGCTGCAATTAGTTCTCTTTAGAAAAGTGATCGCTGCGATTAGTTTTCTTTAGAAAAGTGATCGCTGTGATTAGCTTTCTTTAGAGAAGTGATCGCTGCGATTAGCTTTCTTTAGAAAAGTGATCGATGTTTTCTTCAGAAAAATGATCACTGCGATTAGCTTTCTTTAGAAAAGTGATCGCTGCGATTAGTTTTTTTAGCTTTCTTTAGAATCGTTATCGCTGTGATCAGTTTTCTTCAGAAAAATGATCGCTGAAATTAGTTTTTTTTTTTTAGAAAAGTGATCGCTACGATTAGTGTTCTTTAGAGAAATGATCGCTGTGATTAGTTTTCTTTAGAAAAGTGATTGCTGCGATTATTATTACTTTTTTTTAGAAAAGCGTGAAAAAGTGATCGCTGCAATTAGAAGAATGTTTGACTGTTCAAATTGTCTGCAAAATATTTCTTATCTCTAATTTTTCATAAGCTCCTGTCAGTTTTTCCGTTTATCCCTAAATATTTTATTGCAGTTTTCGCTCCTTATTTGTAACTATGTAAATCATTGTTAGCTTTTTACCAACATAATCCTCTTTTATTATATATAGTCTATACATTTTGTTTGCATTATTTTATATGCAGTTCATAGTTCTATTGAAAAATACAAAAAAGAAATGTACATATATTAGATTTTTTGTTCATACAAACCAATAATCCTCCAATATAGTTTTTATGCTGCTGTAATAAAATGTAAAACAAACGAATTTATTGCACTCTGTTTTACCCTTGAGGTTTTTTCGGGAATATGTATGTACATTTTTGTATTGGTTAATAATTGTTAAATTGAGAAAACAAGGGAGTCAATTTGTGTTAGGTATTGTTTTTTATTGGTATATAAAAGTTTTATTGAAAAGATGTATTGATGAGTAAATTGCTATATGTGAGTGCAACAAATTAAAAATTTTCAATTGGAAAAATACAGAATACAGGGAATATTCAATATTTAATTTATTTTGAAATTTTTTGGTTTATTATTAAAAATTTGTTTTGGCCATATTTATTTTTATACAAATTTTGTATGCATTACCTTTTCATATAGAATATTTTTATTGTTTTCAAAATAGTTATATTAATTTTATTGTTTCTTTGCGTTATTATTTAATATTTTAAAACGAACAATGCAAACAAACATTTAAATATAAATGTTAATTATAATATTTCAAATATAAATAGAAATACATATTTCTATTGTTTTTAATTTTATGCAAGGCCACACCCAGTTGTGGTGTTTTACTACATATAAACAAAAATTATGTAAATTTTTTTAAATCATAAAAAAATATAAAATATTTATTTCATACCCATACATATCTTTCCGCAAGAAACAAAAAATTTTGTTGAAATAACAGTATTTTTTTTAAAAGAAAGGAAAATTGCATATTACTGGTAGAAAAAAAAGTAAACAAATAATCCCATAGAGTCAAAGGATATAATGTATTTTATAGTCAAGTAAAAAGGTTTTGTGGAGAAAGCATAAGTAACAAATAAAAAAGACATGATTGAATATGAAAAGTATCGTACACAAACAAACAAAAGTATAAACACACAAATATTGGGTGTAAATGAAAATCCCAAAAAGTTTTTTTTTTTAAGAAAACTTCATACGGAAGTACTTATCTGTGTTTCTTAATAGTATCTAAAAAAGGCTGATTACAGCGGCCATATTTTTAAAGGAAGCTAATAGCAGCGATCATTATTTTAAAGATATCCAATAGCAGCGACCATTTTTTAAGGAAACTAACAGCAGCGAACTCTTTTGTTAAGAAGATCGATCACTTTTCTAAAGAAAGCTAATCGCAGCGATCACTTTTCTAAAGAAAACTAATCGCAGCGATCACTTTTCTAAAGAAAGCTAATAGTAGCGATCACTTTTCTAAAGAAGACTAGTCTCAGCGATCAATTTTCTAAAGAAAAATAATCGCAGTGATTACTTTTCTAAAGAGAACTTATCGCAGCGATCACTTTTCTAATAGTAGCGATCATTTTTCTAAAGAAAACTCATTACAGCGATCACTTTTCTGAAGAAAAACAATCGCAGCGATCAGTTTTCTAATGAAAGCTACTAGTAGCGATCACTTTTCTAAAGAAAACTAAACGCAGTGATCACTTTTCTAAAGAATGCTAATAGTAGCGATCATTTTTCTAAAGAAAACTCATTGCAGTGATCACTTTTCTAAAGAAAGCTAATCGTTGCGATCACTTTTCTAAGGAAAACTAATCGCAGCGATCATTTTCTAAAAAAAAGGTAATAGTAGCGATCACTTTTTTAAAGAATGCTAATCGCAGCGATCACTCTTCTAAAGAAAATAATCGCGGCGAGCACTTTTCTATCGCAGCAATAACTTTTCTAAAAAGAACTAATCGCAGCGATCATTTTTCTAAAGAGAACTAATCACAGCGATCACTGTTTTGAAGATAACTAATCACAGCGATCATTTGTCTAAAGAAAGATAATAATAGTGATCACTTTTCTAAAGAAAACTAATAGCAGCGATCATAATTCTAAAGAAATCTAATCGCAGCGATCACTTTTCTAAAGAAAGCTAATAGTAGCGATCACTTTTCTAAAGGAAACTGTCCACAGTGTTCAATTTTATTAAAGAAAACTGTCCACAGTGATCAATTTTTTAAAGAAAACTGTCCACAGCGATCACTTTTCTATAGAAAACTATCCATACGATCACTTTTTTCAGGGGAACTGCTTTCAGTGGTGACTTTTATAAAGCAAACTGATCACAGCCATCACTTTTTTACAGAATACCGATAATAGAGATCACTATTTTAAACTTAACAAAGAAATCTACTTTTAAATAATAAATGTATCGCATATATTTTCTATAGAAAGATTCTAAATTTAAAAAGTTTGGCCTTGATTCCCTTTATTTAAATAATTTTTTTTAAATATGAATTCTCATCTTTTCTGATATAGTATGTTTGTTTTGTTTGTTTGAAGGATTTTAGTTTTTTCCATTTTTTAAGTTTTTGTTAGGTATTAATACTTTCATTTAATTTTTTTTTCCTTTACCAAACTACTAGCTTATGTTTATGTTTTCATTTTTATTTTGTTTTACCTGTAACAAAATAAACAAGCATTTTTCTTACTTAACTTTACAGTTTTCTCTTTTAGTTTAACATGAGAATTGTTGTAATCTTTTGGTAGAAAAAAAAAACTTTTAACAAAAATTTTTATCTTATGTTTGTTGTTGCTCTGATATATGAGAACAGCTTGTTGTTTACTTGTTTTATGTTTGCCTGAAATAACTTATTTATGCATTTTAATTAATTAATGTTGAAGAGTGGAAAAACAGTTTAAAATAATGTTTTTAAGTTTGGTAAAAACAACTTATTAAACTAGAAAGGCTTTTAAAATGATTTGACTATTTAAGTACATACTAACTTTTCAATTTTAATAACATTTCCAAACCAATTATTGGGAGTTAATTTAATATTTTCTTAATATTTTTAACTCCCTGTCCATCATCATAACAACTACAATTACATTTCAAAATATTTGGCTAAACTTTCCCCCTTGCAAAATCTAATCTAATACAATTCATTAAATAATCAAATATTATATTTTAGTTTTAATTTTCATTATTGTTTGTCTCGTCTGTGTATTGTTTCTGTCTTTAACAATTGCTGCCACTCACAGAGTCGTTCCTTGAAACCATGATAATGATGATGTTGTTATTGAGCTAATTTTTATGATGGTCTAACAATCAGTAAACACAACAAGTCCATATTTATATTCTTGTTTTGAGCCCCTGTTATTATGCTAGAGTGTTTTTTGTTATTGTTTTTGATTTTGCATAATAAATACGTTTTAATTTTAAGTAATTACGACTAGCGAATGAAAACTTGGCAACATTTGTTTTTT